CACTCGCCTTGGCCTCCCAAAGTGCTGGGATTACAGGCTGAGCCACCGAGCCCGGCCAAGTAAGTCAAGTTCTTTCCCACCTCAGTGCTTTGCATCTTGTATTTCCTCCGCATGAAACTCTCCCTAGTCCCTTACTTCTCATGTAGCCTGTTCTTTCACATCCTTCAGATCTCAGCTCCAGATCACCTGTTTAGGGGCATCATCCAGTCACCCTGAGATGGCACCAACCTCCACGCCTACCTAATGGTCCTGCCACACCACACATCTCCCTTCATTCCCCTCATAGCCCTTATCAGTATCTGCAGTTATCTTGTTTACTTATTTATTATCTGAACCCCCCCCACTAGAATCTTCTGTCTTGGTCTTCATGGTGTTGCTAGCATCAGCACTGACCTGTCACAGCGTATGTGTTCAGTCAACCTTACGGATCCAGTGAATGAACAGGCCAAAGTTGCACATGCCTGAAAAGAGGTTCAGAGAGGATGGCCTGATGGTGAGAATGGGCCCAGCCTCTTCCTCTAACCCACCTTTCTTGATTTTCCAGTATGAGCAGTTTGAGAGTACAATTGGCTTTAAGCTCCCAAACCACCGGTCAGCCAAGAGACTGTGGAAGGTCTGCATCGAGCATCACACGTTCTTCCGGTGAGTCTGAGCCCAGATAGAGTAATGATGAGTCAGAGGTCATGTGTGTAGAGGGGAGCAGTGGGAGGAATTGATGAGGATTCTAGGAAAGCCCTTCCCTCCCATTGTCTCCCTTCCTGGACCACTTTGAGATGTTGTAGTTGGTGGGGCCGTGGGGTGAAAGGCCAGCTGTGGTCTAGCCTTGGGCCTGGCAGTGCAGGTCTGATCTCTCTCCTAACCTCCATCTCTCTGCTGCAGGCTGGTGTCCCCTGAGCCCCCACCCAAGGGCTTCCTGGTGATGGGCTCCAAGTTCCGGTATAGTGGGAGGACCCAGGCACAGACCCGCCAGGCCAGTGCCCTCATCGACCGGCCCGCACCCTTCTTTGAGCGTTCCTCCAGCAAACGGTACACGATGTCCCGCAGCCTTGATGGAGGTACGGCCCAGACTGGAGGTGAGGGAAGGGAGGGAGGAGACATGTGAGATTCTGCAGAGTGAGCAGTGAAGGTGGTGGACACATCCCAAGTTCATATGCACCAGGTGTGGCAGCCTGAGACCACTGCTGGAACCTGAGCAGCTCTCCCATTTGGGACTTGACTCTGCCACTCTCTAGATTCCCATGACTCAGGGAGCCCAGGTTCAGTCATATGGTTTTCTGGCCCCCTGCCCTTAGCAATCCACAGATTTTCATACCAGGAAAATGGTGCTTGTGATTGCACTGTGGATCTGTCTAGAGGCCCAGGCATTATTCTTGGTCATTCTCTTGGTTCCACTGGGCTCTGGACCGATTGACAATCTAGCCACATGGCATTCTCCATTGCCCCTATTTCTGTTGGACTGGCAGGTACCCTTAATGTCAATGAGACCTGGCCCTACATTGTTCTGTACCAAGCAGACTAGGGCTTCTCAGAATGTGTCTACACATTATGTCAGCATCAGAATCATCTGTGAGATGGTTACACACAAAGATTCCCAGGCCCTGCCCCAGACATACTAAATCAGCATCCCTCAGGGCCCAAGTCTCTCCTCAAGGTATACACACTGGAGTTTATAGGTGACATTCACAAGTCACACAGGCTCTGGGGAGATTCAGGGTTAGGCAGATTTGAGTTCCAGTGTTGGCCTTGACACACAGGAAGTGTTCATAAATATCTGAGTGGATGAGTGGGAGACTGGGCAACTCACTTAACTCCTTTGAGCCTCTTTCCTCTTCTGCAAAGTAAATAATACCTACTTTATTGTGTTGTAGGGAGAATTAAATGAGACAATGTCTAAAAAACATGCAAGACTATTCATGGCCTATAATAGGACCTTAATAAGTTATACCCATTATTGCTTCTAGGTTTGTAGAGAGGGTGGTTTAGAGGGGGGAAGTGAGGCCTGGGTGAGGGGACAGTAGATACCCAGACACACTGGGAATACTCCCATACACACATATGTGTGCCAGGCCTTTGTCAGGTCCTGGGTATAGTGTTCATAATGAACAAGTATGGCCCTTTCCCTCGAGGTGCTCTCAGAAGAGTAGGTTTGTAAGCATTTAATGTGGTTCAAGCAATGAGAGAGACGTGCAGGATGCAGAACAGCCTTGAGGAGGGAAGAATTCTGTCTAGGAGGGGCAGAACGGGCTTTGCAGAGAGGGTGACAGCTGGGCAGGGTTCTGAAGGATATCTAGGAGTTTGCCAGGTGATCAAGAGAGTCTGATACTTTTCTTAGGGTATGAAAGTGAGACCTGTTTCAGGATTCTTGTCCATGTTTGAAGGGTGTAGAGTTCTGCAGGGTCCATCTGAGGCCAAGGAAGCTTCTTATTCTCCCTGGGTAGAGAGAGGACTGAGAACTGAGGTTTACACAAGGGGAAAGGAAGATCTGGGCCATCTTCTGTCCCTTCCCTGTAGCTTCTATTATTATGTCAGAGATCAAATGAAACCCAGCCTTTGGGGGTACAGAACAGGTCAGCCCAGAGTTGGTAAAGCTCATCAGGGAAGGAGCAGAAGCCTGGACTCTAAGCCAGGAGCCTCAGTCCTTGTACTGACATACTGAAAGTGTGTTTTTCCCTTCTTGAGGTCTCAATTTATTCTCTGTATAGAATAGGAATAGTAATTCTCGGTCTAGCTAGCAGCACAGAGTACTGCACAAGCCAAATGAAATATGTGTATGCATGGGTATGCTTTGCAAAGTGAATATATATGGATAGAAAGGATAATTATTCTCTTTTTAAAATCTAGGCCAACCCCAAGGATAATCTGAGCTCTGCTTATTTTAATTCAGTGTTTTTCAGCCTATTTTCCACCAAGACGCAGTCATGGGCATGGTCAGATTATGCCCAGCACCGGGTGTGAAGTCTAGAATTCTACCCCTTCCTTCCCTATTCAGAAAGGTATTTTGGAATGCCAGTGAGTGAGAAAGATGTTGTTGCAGGGACACCCTTGAATTCTCCCTAAGTTATAAAGAAGGCAAACCATTCGCAAACTTTAGAACTTTGACTTTCACTCATAAAAACTAATCTCTTGACATCTGTGTATTGCTAAGGAGTGGTCAGATGAGTGTTCTACCGCAATTGCCACAGCAAAATACACTTCCAGGCTGCCATTGACCAGAGGCTCACCCGTCCAGCCACCCTTCTACATACTCACACACATCCGTTTGTTTCTCAGCTCAACTTTCTGAAGTAGGCACTGCTTATAGATGAGGAAAGCAAGGCCCAGAGAGATTGTGTAGCTTGCCACAGTCACGCAGCTAAGAAGAGGTGGATCTGAGAGTTGAACCCAGACTCAAGTGGTATAGAACCAGGCTGGGAGGCAGCTCTGTCACTCACTGGCCTTGTGACCAGGACAGGCTGCTTCACTCCTCAGAGCAATGGGTTGGGTGTGGAAGAGCTGGCTCCACTCCAGGAATGCTTGGCCAGTGGCTGGGCGGGCTCCCTGTCTGTTCACCAGGAGATGTTTCACATGGTCACCTGGCCATCTCTGCCCACTTCAGCAGAGTTCTCCCGCCCAGCCTCAGTCAGCGAGAACCATGACACAGGGCCTGACGGAGACAAGCAGGAAGAGGATGGCGAGTCTAGGGGACGGCGGTCAGAGACTGAGGAGGGAGAGGTCAGGACCCCCACCAAGATCAAGGAGCTAAAGGTAGGAGCCTGACTTTCTCACACCCTCTGCCCTGGGGATCAGGAACGTAATTCAAGGTTAGCCTCGACCTTGGCCTTCATGTGCCCCCAGCTGTGGCCCAGCACTCTTGCTAACTGGCACCTCATGGCCAGGCTCTTGACATTGGGCCATGCTCAGTACCTGGACATCCCAGGGTGGGGGTGGGGATGGGCAGTGGGGATGCCTGCCCTGTAATCTTCCCCACTTTTGCCCTGTTTTACCAGAGGGGCATCCTGTCCCCTAGAGGACTCAGGCCTCCTGTTGCACACAGCTAATTTGCCCCTTTGATATGATCTAGCTCTGTCCTGCCCCCTTTCTCCTCATGAGCATGATCAGGTGTGGCAGGGACCTTCACAAGTGTGAGGTCCAAATGTGTCCCCTTTCTGCTGCCCCTGCCCCTCTCAGCTACACACACACACACGCCCCTCATATCTGTGTGCACACGTCATCAGGATTGTGTAGCCTCAGCCTCACGTGCATCTACACATAGGCATATACAGTCCTCACATGGACACACAAGCAGCACACAACAGGTGCATACACACAGGCAAGGGCTAGCTCCCCTTGGAGTAGTTGTGAGGCAGGGTTTTCTTTCCCATCATGCAGTTCTACCTTGTGCAGTTCTACCTGGTCCTAAACATGTCCACTGACAGCAAGAAGCAGAGAGGCGCAAAACCACATCACACACCCATCTGCTGGGCACAGCTCTGCCCACTCTCCCTCTAGTCCCTTTCTTTGCCTTCCTGGGGCAGCTCCCGCTTCATGCCCTGCAGCTCCTTCTGACCACCTCACTGCCCTGCTGGTGGCCCATCCAGCTTCCCTGGCCTCCATTGCTTGGTGGAATATAAGTGCTCTGGGCTCCTTGCGGGACCTTGACCATCAGGGTATCTCTAATCCATTTGCTCTACTGACCTTTCCCTCCTACCATGTCCCGCTAGCCGGAGCAGGAAACCACGCCAAGACACAAGCAGGAGGTACTGCATGGGCCCCGTCCTCCCTACCCAGCCATCATGTCCCCAGCTCATCTGTCACCATCTCATAGTCCATCACAGGCTCTCAACCCCAGCACCATCTCAGCTTCCACTACATCTCTGCTCCCTGTCCATCCCCCTCCCCAGTCACCCTTGCACCTCTCCCCTTGTTAAGCTCATCTCTCGAGCTCCCTGCTCAGACTCTCCGCCACCCCAACCAGCCACCTCTTCCTCCCTCTTCACCCCTACTGCCTTTCACCTAGCTTCACATGGCACCTCTCCAGACCACCTGGTCCTCCATGCTTGCAGCTCACCGGCTGACCAGCCTAGCTGTGCCCACCAGCTCTTCCAGGGCAACCTGTGCTTTCATTGAGCTCATCTCCTTCCCCACAGCACTGTTTGGTCACACCTCCATCTCATCTGTGTCCCCTGTGTCCTCGCCCCAAGCTTCTTTTTGTATCTATTGGCAACCAGATGTGGGGGTGGGGACTGGGGCAGGGAGGGAGGAACCTCAGCATATTTGTGTCTGCTCAGATCCCAGTCCCTGACCGGATCCCCTGCTGCTCAGCTCTGCCAAGACCTTCTCTCCATTTCTCTTCCTTTCCTTTTCTTTTTCCCATTTACTGCTTCCCTCAACTTCTTCCTTCTGTGTTCTTTCTTTCTTTCTTCTCAGTCTCCAACTCTCCATTTGAACCTTAACTCCAAGAGAAGTGGGTTTGTCCTTGCGCTGCTGAGGGAAAGGGCCAGAGGCTGGGACATAAAAAAAGGTCTGGCCTTGGAGTCCAGGTCTGGGTTTCAACCTCAGTTCTGCCACTGACTCTTTGAAGGTCTTGGGAAAGTCCCTTTGGGTCCCATCCCCCATCTGCACAACAAGGCATTCAGACTAGGTGTCCCTAAGGCTTTTAACCCTTGAGAATCCTAGGGTCTCACTGCTCCTGACAGCCTTCGGGAACATGACATGCCCACAGAGCCAGTGGAGTAGGTTTGGGGTGGAAGTTCACAAGCCACATTTTGGATTGGGACTCACCACCCATCGCAGCCCAAGCCCACATCCTGTGCAGACTCCATCAGGTTCAGCTTCTCAGACAGACATTTTATCCTGAGGGCACGTCAGCTTTAGGAAGGGATGCCTGAGGTACAGAGGTGGCTGGAGGGGTAGCAGGAGGCTGGTGGGTTTGGTTTCCTTTCTAGCTTGCTTAGGAGTCAACCATGATGGGTTTTTGGATGCCAGAGATGAGTCCGGGAAGTTTCTACCTTTGTCTAAGGGTAAGCTTACCTTCCAGTGGTTCTTCCTGAACCACCTGATCTGACTTTAATAAGCTGAGCATGTCCATTTCTTGTCCTGAATTGAGTTAACATGAGTCCTCAGACAGCCTTGCAGATAAGGGTCCTTGGGCTGCCAGCCTGCCTGCTCTGCCCCAGAAGCACACAGATAAACAGCTTTGGCAAGTCACTGCTAGCTCCTCTACAAAAGCTTGTTTTCACTTGACCTAGGCAAATTCCCCTGTCATGCAGCACTGGCTTGACCTCAGACTTGATGATTTGATGGGGGACACACCTATGATTCCAACTTACCTGGCTCAATTCTTGTACCCAGCCTTGGGACTCATCGCTCTTCTTCCTGGTCTCCTATTCTCCTAGTCTTCCTGAACATCCCGAAGCATCCTAGTTTCTCTATCTGGTTGTATTCCATCCTGTCTGCTGTTGGTGAGCCAGTAGTACTCAAAAGGTATCTGAAGATCTAGGCTGCTTGGGGAAGGTAGTGGTTCACAGCAGAGACGGCTGAACACAATCTTTTCCTGGCCCCTGGCCCCTAGTGTGGGAGCAGGACCCATTCATCTGGATGGGTGTCCCTGGCCTGAGGAGAATCCATACTCTCGGCTTCCACAGAGTCTGAGCAGTTGTGCTTGTTAGGCTAGGAGGGGCCTAGACTGGACATCCTGCTAAACACAGTGGTCCAAGTCTTAGTCAGAAGGGAAGCACCAGGATCCAGGAGGAACCCAGGAAGCCAGTGAATGAGCCAGAGCAGCCCAGTGAATGGGATCAATGATTTCTCATGCTGGCACATGCTGCCTGCAATGCCTTGGTTGTGACCAGAGGGAGTTCACCTCTGTGGCTAAGACTGGGCCCATAGTACCAAAGGAAACTCACTTGGACTTGTGGGATTTGGGTGGAGTTGGGTATTCAGAGGCCAGGGAGCCAGGCAGGGGAGAAGAGAAGGTGGCTTGACTGGAAGTCTCCTCTTTTTTATCTTAAGTGCTTTGTGCCTCGGTATGTGCACATGTTGGGGCTGATCTCTTTCCCTATTTGGCTCTTGGGACTGCTGGAAGGGTGAGACAGGGTTGGGACAGGATTCATTTTGCTGGTGGAGGGTGGTGGTGGCAACCATTGCCATCATTCCTGCACCCTATATCCCTCCCTTGGAGTTGCTCCCTAACACCGCCACCTCCATCCATCCCTAGTTCTTAGACAAGCCAGAGGACGTCTTGCTGAAGCACCAGGCCAGCATCAATGAGCTCAAGAGGGCCCTGAAGGAACCCAACAGCAAACTGATCCACCGGGATCGTGACTGGGAGCGGGAGCGCAGACTGCCCTCTTCGCCTGCCTCTGCCTCCCCTAAGGGCACCCCTGAGAAAGCCAACGAGGTAGGTCTCACCCCGAACCCCTCATTAAGGCCTTGGATAAGGATGCATTGGGGGTTTGCCACATACTGACTTACACTCATTCCCCCCACCAATATGCTTCCCCATTGCTGTCTAGGGGTGGTGGGGTTGGATAGGGTGGTGGGTTGGCTGAGGGAGACAGGCTTTCTAATTCTTGGAATCCTGGGACCCAGGGCCCGCCCTGAAGCCTGAAATCTCAAGAATCATTGTGGTGTGGTGTACTCCCCTTCCATCAGCCAGAGTGTAATGGGGAAGGGATGCTTGTTAAAAATGCAGGTTCCAGGGTCCCACCTCAGACCTACTGAATCAGGTATTTGGAGGAAGAGCCCTGGAATCCACATTTTAAGTGTCCAAGGCAGTTCTCACACACACGAAGCTTTGAGAATTGGCAGCTCCATCCGGCAATCAGACCCTTTTGTACCTACTGCGAAAACATGGGTCGGGGAGTGGTTCCCCTGTGGGAGGGCCCTTGGCTCCCACCAGAGGGGAGGGTGTCCTCCACACAGACCAGACCTGCTTCTGAGGCTTCTGAAAAGGTTCTTGCCTTTCAGAGTGGAAAGTGGGGGTTTTCTTAATTGTAAAAGAGACGAGGTTAAGGTTTGGGGAATTTCTATATTTCTACTCCCAAGCTATTATTTTTCACCCTTGCTAAATCTTGGTAATGTTTACCTCAGTTGATGCTTAGGTGTTGCTTACTGGTCTCAAACTCCATTACACTGCCTGGGTTTGAATTCTGGCTCCCCTGCCAGCTAGCTGGATGCCTTTGGGCTTGCTACTTAACCTCTCATTAGGTAGTGATAATAGAGTACCTACTTTGTAGACATGTCCTGAAGATCAAGTGACACAATGCATGTGGAAGGGCCAACAGAGTTCCTCAGTGCTCAATATGAATTATTTGTTGTTTCGTGTTGAGAGTCTGGGACTTTTTCAGACAGGAGGTTGCCTTCGAATCAGCATCTTCTTGTAGTTGGGAGAACCCTTGGAACCCTTGGAACCCTCACTTTACAGATAGGGGCACTGAGACCCAAAAAGAGGAAGGACACATTCAGTGTTACAGCTGATCAAAGAGGACCCAATTTCCTTGTACCTCGGGCTCTTGCATTTGCCATCAAGTCACAGCTGCCCAGGAGCAAGACCAAATAATGTAAAGACCAGATATAGAGTCAGTTGTGTGAGCAGAACTTGGTGATGCAGTGTGATCTAATGAGCGGAGCATCTGATTAAGTCAGTGCTCCCGTGACCTGGACTGCTGGGTAACAGAGGACTTTGCCTAGTAAGGCATAAGCTCAGAGACAGCTACTGTGGGAGTGCCCTGCTAGGGAGTCACAAAAGGAGGATGCCTTCAGGGATCTTTATGTCTAGTGTCATGGAGGGAGGGCAAACACTGGGACCTCTTGTCACCTCGGGCACAAGCAAGACCTTGAACTGGGTGGCGGAGCTAGTGATCCAGCGAACAGCACCCCCTCACACTCGCCTCTTGCCCTCCAGAGATGCCTCTAATCAGTCCTGATGTGGGACTGGCCAGTCTCGACCTGAAGGTGGGTGGGGAGGAATGCAGAGGCTGCTGAAAGAGTCAGACTCCAGAAGAGAAGGGAAGGATGAACCCTGGTGAGCTGGGACCTGGAGTGCTGGAGTGTCTCAGGGCAGACTGACTTGGGGTGTGTGCCCTGCCTGCTGGTGACTGCTGAAATTGGTAGAAGATGGGTCAATATTCAAAGGTGGCGGCTGTTGCACCTCCTATTCCACTCGGCCCCAAGAAGTGTAGTCTACTGCTGGACAGAATTTTGGTACAGAAGCCTGCATTGGAGCAATGGACCATTTAGAACTGACTTAAGGTCCCCTTGGCATTTGGGGCATTTGAAGATTTGGGAGATGGAGAGGTGCCATAGACAAGGATTGGCTGGGTCCTTGGCTCACCTTTCTGAGCCTTTTGGTCTAGTCCATCTATGAAGTGGGGAGGATCAGACATACCATTCCATAGGGTTGTTGGGAAGGCAAAGTGAAATAATGAAGGTAAAAGCACTTGGTCAACTGGAAAATGCTAGACAGTCATGGGTCTATTGCTGATGGTGACTAGAATCCCTGATCTGATTATAGGCTTTATGGGGAACATCCCGCAGCTATCCCATATTAACTAGAATTCCTCGTAGCTTCCTCGTGTATTGTTGGACCTCATCTGGGCCAAGGAGAAAACAGTGAAAACTCTAATAATTATTCCCCTTTGCCAAATCCAAGTTTTAGTTTCAAAGGTAACTTTTTAAAGGGGGCCGAGACCAAACTGCAGAATCAAACCATAGGCTAAGCCAAATAATCCAGGAAAGGCTTAGAATCCAGATGGTATGGCTCCAGAAACTCATGAATGAGTGGCCAGGCCGTGGGGGAAGGACCCAAAGCCACAACACTGGCTGGCAGCTGACCGTAGGCCTCTCTTCCCTAAATGGCTCAGAGGGCAGTCCCTCTCTGTCTTACCCCACAGAGTGGCTCCCTCCTGGCTTCATCCACAAGACCTAAAGATGTGGGGACTTGCAGAGCTGGGCTGTTTACGAATTGTGTATGTGTGTATCTCTCTCCTACTTTCTCTCTCTCCCTCTCTTCCTGTCTCTGTCTCCCCTTCCTCCCTCCTTCCCTTTCCTCCACCCTGGGCCTCCCCTGCAGTCCCAGAGGACCCAGGACATCTCTCAGCAGGACTTGGTGCCTGAGCCTGGAGCAGCCACAGGCTTGGAAGTGTTCACTCAGAAAATCCTCGCAGCATCTCCTGAGGTTACTGTCTTCACCCTTCCCTGCCCCTTCTTCCTGGGGCTTTTCACCCACTCAGAACCACCCTCTATGGTCTTAAGAAAACCCTTTCTCTGGGGTGAGGGGAATGGACCAGATTCTGCCATGCAGATGGGAGCAATGGGTAGCCCATGCTATGACAAGCAAATGTCGCTATCCTGGAATCTATAAAGAGCCAGCCCCTTCCTCATTTATTGTTTCTCAGGAGAGACAGGACTGCAGCCATTCTGGGAAGATAGAACAGCCCTGGCTTTGAAGGGAAGCAGAAATGATCTTCTCTCAGGCCATGGTGAATCAGGTGACTCTAGATGCAGCCTCTGACTTCTAAGCTTGGGATTGGGGTCATGGCACATAACTGCCTTCTGCGCCAAGGTCCAGTCTCTGAAACCTGGATAAGGTCTAGCAATGGCTAGTGAGGGCATGGCACTCCACTCATTTTCTGCCCTTGTCTTCTCTAAGCTCCCTTGGAGTTTGGTCCGTCAGGGTCTCCAGGCAGGCAAATGTGGATACTTTTCTCTAAGGCTTAGCCTTGGAGTTGAGAGATAGTGGTCAGGCAAGAGTTCTCATGAAGAGGACACTGCTTCTGTGCCCAAGATGGCAGTAAGGAGAGGGCTCTTGGCACTTCCTGTGGCCCTGCATGGATGCTGGATGTGGGATTCAGGCACAGGCGGCAGGGGCTGCATCCCTTTTTTTGCTGGGATTTCATAGACTGTCAGGGCTGGAAGGTTCTTGGCCGATCATCTGGGCAAAAATTCCTCCTCCCTGATTACTGAGCCTCCTCTGTCGGCCCTGTATGTGTGAGGGCATATGCTTTTCTCAGTTCTCAGAGGAAATGTTTGTAGCTGCTGCCAATGTGCTGGGACTTTAAGAAAGACACGAGTGAGCTACGTAAGTGGTAAAGCATAAATCATACTTCTACTCCATGAACTTTTCCTTAACATAAAATAAAAACTATCACACTCTCTTGAGGAAAGTCAGACAGGAGTCAACAGCACCCCGAGGTGAGGTACACAGTGATGCCCTGGAGCACACCAAGAACTGGTGTCTGTACTGAGAGCAGAGCCCCCAACACACACCCTTCGCCAGTTCCCAGCAGGCCATCCACCTGGCCCTTCCACCCTGCACTCGCTGTCCTCGATGGCAGCCATCGATCAGCTGTTGGCGAGTTTTCATGCTGAATTGAAACCTGCCTTTAAAATCAGCTGCCTGCACCTTGTTTCGCCCACAGATCTGCTCTGTGACCTCCTCCTGGAAACTGCGATTCTCCTCTCGGTTTCTCCCAGGACATGGCTTCTAGAGGGCTCCTCCCTCTGGACCCCCTCCTGCTGCAAAGGGCAGGACCCAAAATACAACCCAGAGCTCCGCGTGGGGCCTGAAGAGCCCGGAGCCAGTGCAGTTTCTTCCTTAAGGCTTGTGTGGGAGAACTGGCTTTGCCTCCCCCGGCTTCTGCCGCGCAGCTTCTCTGGCTGCAGTGCCCCAAGCTCATGGCAGGGGGCGCTCTGAGCAAGGCACTGAAGCGCCCTGGCTTAGGGGAAAGAGTGGCTGCAGGGCTGCCACGATCTGGGGCTACCCTAGCGTGACCCCACCTTGTGAACTGGATCAGCACGACGTTTAGACTAGCCCCATCGGGCCAGGTGAGGCTCCATCAGTGCTTTATTGCCAGTGACGTTTCTCTCTCTTCTTTTCCTCTTCAGAACCTTACATACCTCTGTTACTTCTCCCGCTGCCCACTCTTGTGTTCTTGCTCAAGTTCCCTCCCCTGGGGGAGCCTCAGTTTCATTTCCTGAAATAAGGATAACAATACCTGCTTCATAGGTTGCCACTTGGATGGAATTTCATAACTTAGACAAAGGGCTGGCATTGCCTGGCACATAGTAACTAAATGTTACCATGTTTCCTTTTCTCCTTGCAGAATCTTTCTTTTCATTCACCGGCCCCTGCTTATCTAGCCTAGTTGCTACCTGGAATTGGGGCAGAAATGTTCCAGAAAGGGCTTCATTGGCTAACTGTGGCCATCATTGCCAGGCTGCTGATTTCGGTCCTCGCTGAAATGGAAGCAGTTGAAGGAACCTGCTTTCCAAGGAGATCAGAGAAGAGATCTGACTTCTGTGGGCTTTTAAAGTGCTTCAAGTGCTTCCCTTTGGGATACTTCAAGTGCTGTGGTCCTAAAGACTTGACAACCTGAAGTAAAAGCTCAGGACCCGGCT